ATTTAAAAATGTATGTCCTGTTCTTAAACGTGTTAAAATAACTTGTTCTCTTCGACTAAGATTATGTGATATTTTGCTTTTCTTTACTGTTTTTTGGATCTTATGATAATGTCTCCCTGTGTTATTGGACTCCCAAACTTTCTGCCATTTCCTATTACAAGCTTCTAAGATTAAGCCTTTTCCTTCTGCTCTGCTTAGTGAAATGTGTCTAATTGGTTCATTTTGTTGTAGAGATTCTTTAGCTATTTTATCTGCCTCCTCATTGCCCTGAATACCGACATGCGCTGGAACCCACATTAAATGAACTATTACTCCCATCTGTGTTAGATTATTAAACTTGATCATAATTTCTGTTAGAATGTCATTTCTTTTCGATTCCATTGATTTTAAACTCATCAAGACAGCCATTGAATCAGAACATATTAGAGCTTTATCAGGTCTGGTTTCATATATCCACTCTAATGCCATCAAAATTGCAACCATCTCAGCTGTGTATACAGAGGTTCCATCTGATATCCTTTCAGACTTCCTCACTTCAAGCACTGGGACATAGAATGCCACTCCTGTCCTTCCTGATTCCATACTCTTTGAACCATCTGTATATATTTGTAGATATGAGTAATATTCATTAATAATGTAGTTCTTGACATATGTGTTTATGTTAACAGTCTCTTCCATCTCTCTTTTGTTTTCATGTAATTTTAAATCTACTTTTGGTTGTTCAAGTAACCAAGGTGGAATTGGTGACATTACATTTATTGATGCAAAAGTTAATATATCTAGACCATTCTCATTTACCCATTCTTTGATTTTCCAGGCAAAGCCCTTCCCTTGTGTATTTATAAGTTCCCAGGAATCATTCAAAACATTTTTTACAGGATGATTCTCACTTTGTCCCTGTAGATTTATCCAGTACGCCAAAGCCAATTTTTGTCTTCTTATATAAAGTGGTGTTTCTGATGTCTCTATTTGAAGAGCAGCTATAGGTGTTGTTTTAACTGCCCCTAAAATAATTCTTAACGCTTTAGTTTGCATAATGTCTAGTTTTTTTAATAATGTTGATGATGCTGATTCATATACAATGCATCCATAGTCAATACTAGATCGCATAAGTCCATCATAAATTCCTTTTAACGACTGTTTGTCAGCACCCCAGTCTTGTCCTGACACTGCTCTCATTAAATTTAATATCTTTCCACATTTCTTTAATATATAATCTATATGATTCTTCCATGTTAACTTTTGATCAAACCATAATCCTAAATACTTAAAATTTTCAACTTTCTCTAAACATGATCCATATAGTGTAAGCTGTTTATTCACTGTTATTTTCTTCTTTGTAAAAATTTGATAACATGTTTTTGATGTTGAAAATTTGAAACCCCAATCTAATGACCATTTCTCTACTGTATTTATAGCTTCTTGAATTTTATACAAATTAAATGCAATATTCCTTCCTCTTTTCCACATTATTCCATCATCTGCGTACAATGCTGTATTAATTCCTGGATGAACATTTTTAAAAATATCATTAATCATAATGTTAAAAAGTATGGGACTGATCACACTTCCCTGTGGTGTTCCGTTTTCTATATTCACAATTTGTGAAACTTCACTACCCACTTGGACTTGAATTGTTCTATCAAATAAAAAACTCAATACCCAATTAAACATTCTTCCTTCTATTCCAATTGTTTTCATTTTAATTAATAATCCCTCTTTCCAGAGCATATCATATGCTTTTTCCATATCAAAATAAATTGCTACCAATCCCTCTTTAACTGCTATAGCTTTTTTTACTTCTGTTTCCAATTTAACTAATGCATCTAATGTTGACCTTCCTTTTCTGAAACCGTATTGATATGGTGCTAAAATTTCTTTAATGTCAAATATATAATTAAGCCTATTTACAATCATTTTCTCCATTAGTTTGCACAGGTTTGATGTAAGAGCAATTGGTCTGTAATTCTCTGCTTTTGAAGCATCTTTCCCTGGTTTAGCTATGGGTATTATTATAGCATGCTTCCAAGACCTTGGTAATCTCCCTTCTGTCCAAATTTTATTATACAAGTCCAATACAAGTTTTAGTATTTTATCATTTACTTGCTTAAGCATAATGTAGTAAATTCCATCTCGTCCAGGTGCTGTATGTTTAATCTTATTCATAACTTGCTTAAGTTCCCACATTTTAAACTCCTCATCTAATGCTCCCACTCCTTTTTGTCTTTTATTATAAATGTCTTCATGTTGAGTCAAAATTTCTGTTCTTTTCTTTCTATAATTCTCACTGAGGTTTTCTTTACTATGAGCTTTCTGAAAGGTATTAACTAGTAACTCTGCCTTCTCCTTTTCTGTAATAGCCGTTTTCCCTTCTCCTGATATTACTGGTATATTTCTAGTTTTATAAACTCCAATCATCTTTTTTAACATATTCCATACTTCTCCTAATTGTGTTTCCTTTCCAATAGATGCACAATACTCCCTCCAATATTTCTTTTTTGCTTGTTTAATTGTTCTTCTTGCCTTTGCTCTCTCCCTTTGATATTCTATTACAGCTTCTGGTGTCAAAGTTCTTTTCAACATTCTAAATGCTTTATTTCTACTTTTTATTGAGTTTTTACATTCGTTATTCCACCAAGGCACAATCTTCTTTTTACTATTCCCATTAGTTTTTGGTATACATTCTTCTGCAGTTGTGATTAAAATTGAACTTAATTCCTCTGTACGTTTGTCAATGTCATCTTCTTTAGTAAAGTTCTTTACTTTTTCTTCACATATTTGATTATATTTTCCCCAATCAGCTTTCTCAAATTTCCATCTATTTTGTTTTATCAATATACTCCTTTGCATTTCTAATCCTATTGTACATATAATTGGAAAATGGTCACTTCCTACTGTTGACTGCTCTATTACCTCCCATTGGCATTTAACAGATATTGCAGCTGACACTATTGTTAAATCTAAACATGATTTTACTTGTTTTCTAATATTAAATCTTGTTCCCCTACCATCGTTTAAGCATACTAGTGAATTATCTTCCATATAATCTTCCACCACCATTCCATTTGTGTCTGTGTTCATACTACCCCACACCACACTATGTGCATTAAAATCCCCACACCATATTCCTATACCTTCATCTTTTCTCCAAATTTTATTCAGCTCCATTAAGGATATTTGCTTACATGGATTGTAAAAATTTATTATTGATACTTTCCCTAGTGCTGTCCACACTTCAACTTTAACACATTCATATTGTGAATCTATACTTATTTCCCTATAAGCCACCCCATTTTTTATAAATGTTGCACACCCACCACCTGAAGTTCCTGCTCTGTCTTTTCTAATAGATATATACCCTGGAATGACAAAATCCAATCGCGATTTAAGCCATGTTTCCTGAATACATATTAAATCAGGCACATTTGTCATTTCATGTATAACTTTCTTAAATTCTTGACCATTCGCGATTAGACTCCTGGCATTCCATTGTATTACCCTGAATGTCATTTTATTTTATTAGCCTTTGCTTGTCTGGGGGTTCTTGAGGGTTTGAGTTACTCTCAGGTTGCCCTAGTAGAGACTGAATTCCCTCCATTGACACTTCTGTTATTCCAAGATGACGAGTTGCCGCAGATATTATGATTTTTAGTTTCTCTGTTCTTTTGTTAGTTTGAGCTGTACAGTTGATTACTTCTGCAATGAATGCTATAAAATTTACCTTGCTGACCATGAGTAAATCTGCATCCTGATTTGTTTTGAGAGTTTCTATTGATTTATTCGATCTTTCATTTGCATTCATAACTTGATAGCTCTTCGTGTTTCTTTGTTCATCTTGAACTTTTTTTACAGCTTGAGCATATGACATATTATACTCTGTTTTGTATTTCATTGCCTCCACAGCTTGTTTTTGAGCATTACATCCTAAATACGCTGCACTATGAGGACCTCCACAGTTACAGCACTTAGGTTCTACTAGTTCCCCACATTCACCATATTTGTGTTCACCTCCACATTTACAACATCTTTGCTTTCCCTTACAAACTTCTGCAACATGACCCAGTCTTTGGCAGTTGAAACACCTTAATGCAGGTTTAATGAATGTTCTTACTGGATAACAAACATATCCCATTTTTACATTATCTGGCAGTTGCTTCCCATTCATGATTATCATCACTGTTGTACTTGGCTCTCTTTTCCCACTTCTATTTGTTGTTAACCTTTTCACTTCTATTACCTTTTCACTTAATAACTGATTTCTTAATGTTTCGTCTGATAAAGACAGCGGAACCCCAGTTATCACTCCTTTAATGCCACTAACCTCTCCTGGTACGTGGCATTTAACTCCGACTCCTCCAATCTCTTTCATTTTAATCAGCATTTCTTGTTGTTTTTTGTTCAGACAAAATACAAGAACTCGGTTGTTTGATAAATATCTGGCTGAATTTATTTCCCCAATAGCTTTTTTGAGCATTTTTGTTAATCTCATGGGATTATTCATCTCACCTATGCTTGAGAACATCATGATAACTTTATACTCATCCTCCATCCTCATTGTTTTGCTTCTTCCTTCTACTCCTCCTGTTGCTACCTCCTCAGAATCTGAACTTCTGTTCTTGCGCTTCTGAGATCTCTGTTCAACCTGAGACCAATCATCTTCCATATCTAGGTTGGTTGAATCATCCTCATCGTCTAAATTTCCTCCTTCACTCTCTTCATTCACACCACAGCTGTCGCTAAACCCGCTTCGGCATCTTTCCTTCGCCATTTTTCATCCCAACCACCTTGCCTTGTGAGGCGTTACATCTGGTTTCGAGACTAAACGATAACCGGAAATTGTGCAAAAGTCCCTTGCATTTTAAAAATGCATTCTGGGTAATGTAGTTCTGTGCGTACCAAATAATCCTTCAGAGTAATAATGAGGTCGATGAAAAGAACTACAACCCCCATAAGCCGAACATCTCATATTAGGTTGACGTGTTATGTTCACGCAGTCGGCGCAGATACTGAATGAACATCTCTTAAACAGTTATTCAATACATACTGGGTTGGAGACATGGCCGGAGAAATGTCAATGATAGGTAAGTGTTTATTTAAATTAACGTACTGGCAACTATATATAAACTCTAGCAAAATAACCATTGGTGTAGCCGTTAGCTAGAAACAGATCTGACGCATCTGTCTTGAAACTCCCTAATAACTGACTGCACTGTGGATAATTACATTAACGTTAACTTGATTTCAAGCTGGTAAATAGTTTTCTTGTTTGGCATAACACAAAGCCGCCAGCCTGTAAAATAAGCTGTTATATGCCAGTCGACTTTCGTTCTTTATGGTAAGTTACAGATGTTACAGCAGTTGGGTCTAAACACCATGTTAACTACCTGTCTAGCTATTTGGTCATCATCAGGAACATTGTCTAGACACCGTACCAAACCATATAAGTGTTTTTTATGTTTTAGTTTTTCTACGTGACATTTATATGTATACCATACAGGCACATGCTAGAAACCTTTATATTTAAATGGAATGTTCATGATTGCTATTATATGGTAACCACTAGTTAAGTGGTGAACTAAAGTATCGTGGTATTACCATCTGACACTGTATCCTATGTGCGTGTTGTAGTGGATTTCAAGCGATAGCAACTTCACATTGCTTATTAGTCAACATTATTTTTTAGCCATACATAATTGTGTGTTTCTCCAGGTTCTGTCATCCTGGCTCTACTTCTGGCTGGGTATCTGGGACAGCAGTATCTACCGCCTCCAAAGCCCAGGGTCATTGGGCTGGATCTTGGGACCACGTTCTGCTCTGTGGGAGTGCTTCAGCCTGGCACTGGCGAGATTGAAATTATCGAAGATGACAAAGGTCGCAAAAGCATCCCGAGTGTGGTGTCATTCACTCTGACCGGTGTGTTTGCTGGACATGAGGGCCAGGAACTGTCTGACGTAAATCCTCAAAATACAATCTATGATGCTAAGAGATTTATTGGAAAGATTTTCGATGAAGAGACTTTAGAAAAAGAGAGTGCAAGATACCCATTTAAGGTAAAAAAATTTTCTTGTTACACTCTATCATTTCTTATCGTGTCTCTGACATTATCATTGCTATTTTGCAGGTGATATTCAACAATGGCAGTGCAGATTTTTTAGTCAATACAAACAGCACTTTCACGGTTACTCCTGAATTTATCGGATCCCGTCTCCTGCTGAAAATGAGGAAGATGGCTGAGAAGCAGCTGGGAGTTCCTGTCGAGAAAGCGGTCATATCAGTGCCAGCAGAGTTTGATGAGAGGCAGAGAAACTACACCATAAGAGCTGCTAACCTAGCTGGTCAGTTTTAGGATTCAGTTTTTAAGCTTGCATTTCATTTCAACAGGAATCCAATTATTCCAGTCTCATGCTACAGCAAAATATATTGCAACAGTTTCTGACTAAATTCATCGCAGTGATCAACAGAAATCCAATATTTGCCTGTCAAAACTCTGTCTGATATTAGGTCTGCATGGGGAAATATTTCATCTCATATGAGATTCAACTCAAGATGTGTATATAATTGAGAGATTACTGTGTTTGGGTGCAGCCTTATACCTTGTGCTGCTGTATACAATTCTACAACATCTATTGTAAAATCTGGAGAAGAAAAGCAGCAAATATAAACTAATTAAAATTTTCTATTGGAAAGAAATGTTTTTATAATATTTGTTTTGGTGCAGAACCAAATGTTTTTGCTAGATGAAATTTGTTTGGTATACATTTTGTTTTAAATATAATTCTTTTTTTTTTTCTTTTTTTTTTTTTTTTTAAACAGTAAACCACACAGGTTTTACATTTTTTAGAACCAGTTAACTTTTACAAATCATGCTGAAAACCTTTTCAAGGTTTTGTATCATTCTAATAAATTGTCAACTTTTAAATCCAGTCATTCCATAGTGATTTTTTGTTTTTGCCATGTTGACCCACAAATTTACTTAATTTGAAATAACTTCTTTGAGAGCAGTGCTTTGTACATCTTAATCAATCTTTTTGGCCACAAGTATTTGTAAAAAAAAAAAAAAAAAAAAAAAAAAATCACTTCTTACTAATAAAAAAAAGCTACTCATGTACTGGTTAGAATCTGTAATGACAAATCATGTGCATTTCTTTTTTTCAGGACTGGATGTCCTGCGGGTGATCAATGAGCCCACAGCAGCAGCGATGGCATATGGACTGCATAAGGCTGAGGTGTTTAATGTGCTGGTGGTGGATCTGGGGGGAGGAACACTAGATGTGTCACTACTCAATAAACAGGGCGGCATGTTCCTCACCAGAGCTATGGCAGGTGAGCTGGGTGATACGATAATGATAAACATCTTAACTAACAGAAGCTTTACTACTGTATATAAAGCTGCATGTTTGAATTTTAATGTGCAAAACCTTTTATGAAGGTTTAACTTCATATGTATTTATTATTAGTTGATTGATTAAAATGTATTTTATTCTGTAAAGCACTGGTAACATTTCTTCCCAATTAAAAAAAGAGACCATGTTTTCAGACATGTCTAGATCCCTTTTTAGACAAAAAAATATCAATGATTTAACTTCTAAAGTATTAGGAAATCAGTATATGGTGGAACATCCATGATTTTCCATCACAAAAAAATAAAAACAAAACTCTAGGCTCTAAAGCCCTTTAATATTGTTCTTTTTTTCTATTTGGAAGCAATGTTATCAGACCTTTTATAGAATAAAACAAATACAAATATTTTAATTTGAGTGTCCTCAGTAGTGATAATAAGCTGGTCACCTTTTTTTGTCTTTTAAGGTAGAGGGTAGTGTTAGAAGACTACATATGGTTAGGCAGTGTTTTCTAAAATTAGCTTTGTCATTTTAAGTCTTTTTTTTTTTTTTTTTTTTAAACTTCTGCCGCAGTTTTGTAATACCAGCAAACCTGTTAGTGTTCCCATATAGAAAAATGCCATGAACATGATTTGTGCAGGTGTTTGATATGGTTTGATATAAACGCGTCTCTAAAGAGTAGTTAGTATCTTCAAGAAAAGTTATTAACGTTATTTACAATTCATCCTGCCTCAATATTATGCTGAATACAATGCTGTTCATTTAATGTTAAGTTATATAATGCAATGCCGCTCTCATTAGCGGTGTTATGCATTTTTAGTCTAAGCTTTTTATGACGGATTAAAAAAAAAGGTTTTAAAATGTTGATATTTGAGATTAGTTGTGTTAGAAAGCTATGTTTTTGCCACAATAGTCAATTCCCTTACCTGTCCATCAGAAAAAACAACATTGGTGTCATCAAATCTCCAGCTGTTGTTTACGCTCGTCAGTGTTGTTGTCGTTGGTCTTTATATCTTGTGAGTTCAGTTCAGACATGTTCTGCTTCTTCTTCGGGACATATTTTTATACAGTCTCTGAGCAGGACAAAGATCTTATGTTATCCTTGCTGGTAAAGCACGGAAATATTTGTTCTCATTTTCAATCTTCACTCTGCCAAACACTGCTATAGTAATCGTTGTACTGAAGCAACAGCCAATGAGTGTGAAGAGTCACTTAGACATTGTAGTAAAACACTGTATTTTAAGGGAGCGATATGAAATTAGCAGTTATAGTTCTTGAACACTTTAGAGCAGGGGTCACCAACCCTGTTCCTGAAGATCTACCTTCCTGCAGATTTTAATAAACACAGCTGTCTGTAATTATCAAGTGCTGCTTCAGGTCCTAATTAATGGGTTCAGGTGTGTTTGATCAGGGATGGAGCTGAATTCTGCTGGAAGGGGTTGTTGCTAGATCAGATTTAGTTGTTATCAAATTTATGATTCATTTATCTATAGTTCTATAGTTACATATTAAATGTCCCATTACTTTGTATTCAATTAATAACTTTGGTTACCATTACCCCAACCCTAAACTCAACCATAGCGGTAATGTAAAAACCGTAGTTGTACAGAGTATTATATATGTTACTTATTAAATTACCCAATAATGCTGCGGACAGAGTTTGTGCTTGCGAAATTCTGTTGTACAGCGCAGCGAAGAGGGGCGAGATAAGATGATTATACATTTAAAAAAGCGAGCGATTGGTCCATATTTTAAAATTCTGTTCAGAGAGGTCAGGTTGTGATCTTTGATTGGTCTCACGCATTCATGTGATGCGATTTTGCAGGTCAGATTTCACTAAGCTAGAACTTTCAAATGTGCCGAACTGCGAAACTTGTCGCACGAGCTTGCATTTCTGACCCTTTCACGTGCATATGAACGGAAGTCTGTGGTGAGAAAAGTGCAGGGTGACCGCAGCTTTAATTGTGTATATATTAATTTCTACCCCTACCCCAATCCTAAACTCAACCGTCACAGAAATGTAAAAACAGTAGCTGTACAGAGTATTATTTGTTACTTATACAGTGTTACAAAAATGCTGCTTTATTGATGTGCGTATCTGCAGCTGTATCCTAGCTAGACCGTATCTTGTCTAGACCACTGGAAGCCAGCTCTGCAGGATCAGGGCTGGCGACCCTGGTTTTAAAGTAAGCTTTAGTCTGTTAAATAAGTACATTCAAGCACACAAGTAAAAATAGAAATACATTTGTATAACATCTTTAGTTATGTTAACAAAACATACATGTCATTTGACAGTTCATTTACTAATGTTAACATACAATTGTGCTTAAAATGGTGAGTTTAGCTTCTAAAAGTAATAAATCCTGTAGAAGATAATTTCATGTATGTATATTGTTCAGTCAGTTAATGAATTTAAAGATATAAATATTTTTATTTTAATTAATCAATTAATTAATTTTTTTCTGAAGCCGTGGTTCTTGGTGATTCATAATAGTGCTGTTAACAATGTTCAATTTCTTACACAGATTAATTTACCTCCTAAGACCTCATATCATTAGGAGCCACAAGTATTATGCTTTGCTTCAACTTTACTCTTAGTGCTGGTATTTTTTTTTTCTGAATCACCAGGTACCCGTTTCAGCTACAAATCTTCAATTTTCTATTAAAACAAAAATCTTAAGCAGAATAAGAATTAAAAAAAAATCTGCAAGTTCTCTTTTTTTTGGTTGAACAATTTAATACAGGTCACATTATTCTCAGGGGTTTGACCTCAATAGCTTTTTAGATTAGATGTTTTTGTAGATGACGCAGTCTCATTGACATTTAACTGACACTCATAGAAATGCCACCACATCTGGGTAGGGTTGCACCAGCTGTTCGTAGGTTCTTTCTTAAACTGGAACGTAAAGTCCTCAATAGGGGCTTAGTAACTACTAGCTAGTTTGTAACTAAATTTGTTCTTTCTTCGGTTGCACCACATGCTCTTAAATCAAACTGTAGTTAGTAGGTCGTAAGCTCTCCTTAAAGTCATGCGTAGTTGCTTGAATGATGTAATATCCAACAAAAAGTATTTAAATCATTAAACTGCTTTAAAATTCTGCAACTAATGTATCTATATATAACTGTCCTATGAAAATTAAATGACAAGTTACAGTTTTATAGTACGATACTGTCAGTCACTATAACAGATGACACGCATACCTGATTCACGAGCCATACACAAAGTTATCTAAACTTGTTTTTTTTTTTTTTTTTTTTATATCTTACATGTTGAAGAGAAAAGAGCTGGGCTGCGTCCGAAACTGCCTACTACTCTGTAGGTTTTGCATTTGAATTTAAACGTACTACTCGGCTGTTACAAAAGTACGTTCTATACAGTATGAATGTGAAAAGTATGAATGGAATTCGGACGTACTACATCCGCCATTTTGTCATGGTCACGTGACCAACCTGCGTCAATTGCGTCGCTTTACTCCCAATCATGAATTCGCTCGCGGGGCATCATGGGATAGCGCATCATGCATGGGGTGCGCACTCTAGAATCTCGCCGGAAGTTATAAGTCATCCGGGTACTTCTCGCATACTGATTTTCGAATTCTATGAATTCGGACATACTACCTGGCTCGCATACTGATTTTAGCGTACTATATAGTATGGAAGTATGCGGTTTCGGATGCAGCCCAGGACTTTTAATTGATGGATACAACAAACACAAAACAGTCCTTCATAGAAAATTAAAATAAATAGAAATACAAATTAATAGAAAATACAAACCGAAAAAAACTAGAAAATACAAACTGAAAAAAATGTGAGATTTGGGAAGATATGACAGCTGTGAGTAGAGAGAGATCATTCTGCATTATGATCGTGAGCTCCTCAATGGAAACTAGTCATCTCTTTTCTGCCGTAAAAATATTTAGTTGGATCGTTGCGTTACATTCAATCTAAGTTAGGTGGTGCAACATATTTAGTAATGTGTAAGTTGTAACTTAGTGTCACTTTAAGCCACAACTAAGCTACGTTTTAACTTGCACACTGCTGGTGCAACTGGCCCCATGAGCACAACCCACCTGTTTGGCCCCATAATTAACACTTAATCTCCACAGGTAATAACCAGCTCGGAGGGCAGGACTTCACCCAGCGTTTGCTCCAGTACACCACAGAGCGAGTTCGGCAGCAATATGGCGTTCCCCCTACTCTTAAAGAAGACATCCATCTCCTCCGACAGGCTGTAGAGGCCGCCAAACTTAACCTCACCCAAGAACCTCACGTTCACCTCCGAGTTCCTCTGTACCTCCAGATGACAGGAGCCAGCGGAGCGCAAGAGGAGAAAGTCCTGTTTGAGGAGAAGCTGACCAGGGAGACATTTGAGGAGCTCAATGCCGACCTCTTCCAGAAGATCCTGGCTCCCATCGAGACCGTCCTCGTCGAGGGCCATCTGGACAAGCAGGAGGTGGATGAGATTGTCCTGGTTGGAGGGTCTACGCGGATCCCTCGGATCCGGCAGCTCATCAGTCAATATTTCGGAAAGGAGCCGAACACGTCAGTGGACCCGGACTTGGCAGTGGTGACCGGTGTGGCCATTCAGGCAGGCATTATGGGTGGTTCTTGGCCTCTTCAAGTCAGTGCAATTGAAATTCCCAATAGACATCTTCGCAAGACTAACTTTAGTTGATCTTTTATTTGTCATATGACTGCTTTGTGCCAGCAAACCAAAAGATGGTTGAGTGACATTGCTTCCTCATGTCTTTGCTTCCTCAAATGCATTAGTTTCAGAGTTAATCAAGACCAACGCAGCAGTTATGTGAAGATGTGGTCTTCAGAACAGACGCAGAGTATTTATTTAGTTCTTCATTATATCAATAGCATCAAGGAGATGCTTTTCTACTGTATCCAGAGCAAGTGTCTGTTTTGGGGTGTGCGATATTTATTATATTATATTATATAATATAATATCAAAACTGAGGTTTTGATAATGTGCAAGCATTATTGTGATTGTGCATTATCATGTCAGTCACTTTGAGGAAGAAAAAAAGTAAACAAACACACTGGATTTGTTATGTATAAGTAATCATATGATTAACTGATATCACTAAAGCAAGGGTGCAGTTTGTTTTTGAAACGTCAACTTAAATGCGATATTGATTTAGCAACAGTTAAAAAATAAGTAAATATTAAGTGACATTTTAGACACAATATTGTCAGTTTTGTTTTTCAAACACAGTAAAATAGTTTAAAGCAGAACATTTATGCACCTCAAAGTTATTCTGACATTTCATGAATGATTCCTGAATAAATCATTTGAGTCAATAGTAGGGCTGGGCCGATAAACAATATTATATCCAATCAAATCCAATTAAACTTTGTCAATAACACTGATAAGCTCTGGACTTTTTTACTCTATATTGGTCTAAAAGCCAATCACACAGCATAAATGTACAACGAGAATCTAAAAGTGTGTTGATATTAGAGATTTTCAGCCACTGAATATTCATCATCCCAAAATAAGTTATGTCGTTTGATGGACCCTCTAATTTTTGTGGCTTCAGTCATTGTCGGGGTCCTCTTAAATCTGGAAGCATTAACAACTCATATTGAAATATATATAGTTATTGTTCAATATGGGAAATAATTATCGAGATAGCATTTTTGACTTATCGCCCAGCCCTAGTCGTTAGCTGGGTTAAGTATCGCATGAGAAATGAGTGATGGAAATGCCTATTTTTGCATATAAAGTCCTAAATGGGTGACTGAAACTGATTTGCCAATTAAACTCAGATGTAGCAAATAATACACCCACACGACCCGTCTACATTATGCTTGCTTTGTTTACTGTTGGTTACTAAGTTACCAATACTACAGTCAGCCACTCTAACAACTTGATGGAAATGCACCTACTTCACATTTGAAATATATTTATTTTTTTCCGAACTTTGAAAACATTTGCATCATGTAAGGAAGAAAACCAGGGTAATAATAAATTTATGAAATCTTGCTTAGTTCAGCAGTTTTGAAAGAATCCTTTGAATGATTCAGTGGATCACTCATTAAAACAGAGACTTGTCGCCATCTACTGGCAGTTTTACAGTCATATTTATTCATCTATGACAGGTGTAAACCAGCCACAAATTACTTTTGGCAAAATATTAATTGCAGTTATCAAAAATAAAAACTCAAATTTGGAGAGAAATATCACACACCCTCACTTGAGACAATATGGGTTAGTTTATTGCCATCTGTGTGCCTAAATGGTACAGTACTCAATGTGCAATAAGTCTTTTATTGATGTTCAGGGAAGCAGCAGTTAGTATATAACTGAATGATCATTCCAGTCTTGGCTATTTAGGGACCGAGCACCGAAACGGTGCGTAGGCCCTATTGGAATTGCTCTGTTTATTATTAGGGACCGAGCACCGAAACGGTGCGTAGGCCCTATTGGAATTGCTCCGTTTATTATTAATGGGGTTTGCCATAGGCAAAGTCCATTCTTACTATTGTGCTGGCTTATTATTAATGGGGTTTGCCATAGGCAAAGTCCATTCTTACTATTGTGGTTTATTATTCTGTCTTCTTCTTCTTCTTCTTCTTCTTCCGTACACTTTTTCGGCGCGTAACTAGTCCCGCAGCTTTCGTCCCAGACCCTTGAAAGTGGGCTCAAATCGTGCGGCTTTATCGGGAATGGTGTGCTATGACTTTTATAAGGGGTGGGTGGTTTTGGGGCCCCAAAACCACCCCCCAAAACGCATTGACTCAACATTACGCCCAACTTTGACAGATTATAGCGCCAAGTGTGAAATTCATAGAAATATGGGATTTACAGCATCTGTAGGGGGTTGCAGCCTAAGTGAGAACATACCCCGCAAGGGGGTATAAGTTGCACCCCTGGGGCTCTAGGACGTCCCAAAGTGCTCCCATTGACTTACATTGGCCCATTGACTCCCATTCATTTTTCTAGAAGAGCACTAAACGCGCCGCGAAATGGGACGACCTTTAAAGCGTTATAGCGCCAAGTGTGAAATTCGTAGAAATATGGGATTCGCAACATCTGTAGGGGGTTGCAGCCTGTATGAGAACATACCCCAAAAAGGGGTATAAGTTGTACCCCTGGGGTGCTAGGACGTCCCAAACGGGTCCCCATTGACTTTACATTGCCCATTGACTCCTATTCATTTCTTGACTCACATGTCAATCACAGTACATAGCAGTGTCATACAGACTTGGGGGTTGGCTTACTTAACTGAGGCAACCAATCAGCATCTCAATATGATTTTGAAGCTCACAAGCCACGCCCCCCCAAACCATTTAAAGACCCCTAATAAGTGCCCCATTGACTTAACATGGGGTGGGATGTCCCATTGCAGATCCCATTGACTTCCATTATAAATGTTACACATCAATAACATTACATAGGAGTGTCATAGAGAAATGGGGGTGGGCTCATTTGACTCAGGCAACCAATCAGCATCACTATATGATAATGATGCTCACAAGCCACGCCCCCAAATTGGTCCCATTGACTTCTATTATAATAAGGCTAGATGCATATCTTTGCATAGCACTGTCATACAGACTTGGGGGAAGGCTCATTTGACTCAGACAACCAATCAGCATTTCAATATAATAATGAAGCTCTTAAGCCACGCCCACAAATCCATTTAAATACCCTTAATAAGTGTTCCATTCACTGCCATTTTAACTGGTCTACATGCATATCTTTGCATAACAGTGTCCTATAGACTTAGGGGTTGGCTCATTGGACTCAGACAACCAATGAGCTTTTCAATATGTTAATGAAGCTCACAAGCCACGCCCCCAAACTGGTCCCATAGACTGCCTTTATAACTGGCCTTCATGCATATCTTTGCTTAGCAGTGTCCTATTGACTTGGGGGATGGCTCATCTGACTCAGACAACCAATGAGCATCTCAATATGATAATGAAGCTCACAAGCCACGCCCCCAAACTGGTCCCATAGACTGCCATTATAACTGCTCTACATGCATATCTTTGCTTAGCAGTGTCCTATTGACTTGGGGGTTGGCTCATTTGACTTGGACAGCCAACCACATTCAAGTTCACTCTGTAACCTCGCCCATAGCAACAAAACAGAGTACCCTAGCAACCGTTCATCAACAGCTATATCTCAGCATCGGAACATCGTAGAGACTTGGGGATTGGCTCGTTTGACTCATGCTAGCAAACGGAACTTTCTATATGCTACACATGCTAGCAGTGACTAGCTACATGCTAATATTGACTAGCCATGTACTGTAACTTGCTAGAAATGCTTACTAAGTATAAATATTTCATCAGGCATGTATGTGAGGCTTGCCTAGTAACCACCCAGGGTACCCTAGCAACTGCCTAGCAACCACCCAAATTACCCTAGCAACCGCCTAGCAACCACCTAGCAACCGCCTAGTAACGCCTTAGTAAGGGCCTAGCGACCACTCAGGACACCCTAGCAACCGCCTAGCAACGCCTTAGCAACCACTCAGAATACCCTAGCAACCACCTAGCAACACCTTAGCAACCACCTAGCAACCACTTAGGACACCTTAGCAACCGCCTAGCAACACCTTGGCAACCACCTAGCAACCACTCAGAACACCCTAGCAACCGCCTAGCAACCACTCAGAACACCCTAGCAACCACCTAGCAACACCTTAGCAACCACCTAGCAACCACTTAGGACACCCTAGCAACCACCTAGCAACACCTTAGCAACCACCTAGCAACCACTCAGGACACCCTAGCAACCGCCTAGCAACCACTTAGAATACCCTAGCAACCACCTAGCAACACCTTAGCAACCACCTAGCAACCACTTAGGACACCTTAGCAACCGCCTAGCAACACCTTAGCAACCACCTAGCAACCACTCAGGACACCCTAGCAACCGCCTAGCAACGCCTTAGCAACCACTTAGAATACCCTAGCAACCACCTGGCAACACCTTAGCAACCACTTAGGACACCTTAGCAACCGCCTAGCAACACCTTAGCAACCACCTAGCAACCACCCAGGACACCCTAGCAACCGCCTAGCAACGCCTTAGCAACCACTTAGAATACCCTAGCAACCACCTAGCAACACCTTAGCAACCACCTAGCAACCACTTAGGACACCTTAGCAACCGCATAGCAACACCTTAGCAACCACCTAGCAACCACTCAGAATACCCTAGCAACCGCCTAGCAACACCTTAGCAACCACATAGCAACCACTTAGGACACCTTAGCAACCACCTAGCAACCACTCAGAACACCCTAGCAACCATTCAGAACACCCTAGCTACCAAAACAAATACATTGTACCCCAGGCTTAGGGGTTGGCTCATTGGACCCAGACAACCAATGAGCATCTCAATATGGTAATGAAGCTCACAAGCCACGCCCCCAAACTGGTCCCATAGACTGCCATTATAACTGGCCTACATGCATATCTTTGCTTAGCAGTGTCCTATTGACTTGGGGGATGGCTCATCTGACTCAGACAACCAATGAGCATCTCGATATGATAATGAAGTTTACAAGCCACGCCCCCAAATTGGTCCCATAGACTTCCATTAAAATAGGCCTACATGCATATCTTTGCTTTGCAGTGTCCTATTGACTTGGGGGTTGGCTCATTTGACTTGGACAGCCAACCACATTAGAGTTCACTCTGTAACCTCGCCCATAGCAACAAAACAGAGTACCCTAGCAACCATTCATCAACAGCTATATCTCAGCATCGGAACATCGTAGAGACTTGGGGATTGGCTCGTTTCACTCATGCTAGCAAACGGAAACTTCCTGTATGCTACACATGCTAGCAGTGACTAGCTACATGCTAATATTGACTAGCCAAGTACTGTAACTTGCTAGAAATGCTCACTAAGTATAAATATTTCATCAGGCATGTATGTGAGGCTTGCCTAGTAACCACCTAGGGTACCCTAGCAACCGCCTAGCAACCACCCAAATTACCCTAGCAACTGCCTAGCAACCACCTAGCAACCGCCTAGTAACGCCTTAGTAAGGGCCTAGCGACCACTCAGGACACCCTAGCAACCGCCTAGCAACGCCTTAGCAACCACTTAGAATACCCTAGCAACCACCTAGCAACACCTTAGCAACCACCTAGCAACCACTCAGAACACTCTAGCAACCGCCTAGCAACACCTTAGCAACCACCTAGCAACCACTCAGAATACCCTAGCAACCGCCTAGCAACAACTTAGCAACCACTCAGAACACCCT